TGTGTACAGCCATGTGCATATTTGTTAGCACATATGTAGTTACGATGAGCTAAAATAATATCAGATTAACTTTGTAGCATAGATAACCATTGGTATTGATGACATTAATGTGTACATGTAGTTTCAAGTCTTAGCTAGCAATTCTGAGGTCACTAGCTGAGGCAATGGGTCTATCCTCTGTGTAAAGCCATGTGTATATGTATTAGCACATAAGCAGTCAGGACGAGCTCTTATAATATCAGATTCACTTTGTAGCATAGATAACCATTGGTATTGATGACATTAATGTGTACATGTACAGTACAAGACAATAAAAACTTTGCGTTCCGTTTGCGTTGAACGGCGTCCCACGCTTCCGTATTTATTCCGTTTAATATTGGTAACGTTCCATTATTATGGTATCGACGTTGTTAAAGATGTTGTCTCAAGTCGCTGCCGTTGTACAGGCGTTTTTGCCCATTTGCGCCATTATTCTGAGCGAAGAATGGTCCAGAAGGTTTGTATTTGAGAGTTAGCTGACAAGTAAGTGATCTACTTTTACTCCAGGCAAAGGTCAAGTAAGCAGTAACTTCCGGTAAGACTAAAATTCTTTTACCTGTTAATAATGGCGATATATCTTTCTATTTTAGGCTATGAAGATAAACTATGATGGTTCGAGAGCTGCCTGTCTGAGCTGTGATGTACATTATATATGTTTTTTTTGTTTTAGAAGAAAAAATAAATAATAATAATAAACTTATTAAAACATGGGTGCATAGCAACGCTCCCGTTGCTATGCGACAATAAACAATAGCGGCCTGTAAACTAGTGGCGAGCGAGACAATGACATATAGGCAGCAACTGAAGGAAGTTCTTGATACTGGTAAGGAATCCTTTTGCCCTGCTTTAAGCATACTGTAAGTAGCAAAATGGTCTCTTATCTATTGGCCTGATGAAGACAATTTCACTATTGTGGAAACCAAAAAAGTACTAGTTGCATCTGGTGGTATTAGTGCAGGTGGCCCAGATACTCCCTGTACTGTGAAAGCTGGTACTAAAGTGTACGGTGGTATGATGAAAGGGTCAGGTAATTTTGAGTAATAATATTTTACCTTATGCTGATTGCTGGTACAGGATCATATGCTGAAATGGAAGACCTTGAGCACAGATTGGAACTGTCTGCTGAATTAAGAGAAGAAACTGGTAAGACATCACTGCATATCAAAGTTAAAGTTTAATGATACATATTTGTGATAGAATTACCTGAAGAA